AGACCGAAGGGGTCTTTAGGGCAGTGTTTGTTAAGATCAGTGTAATGAACGCACATTCTCCATTCTTTATTCTTTTTTTGAACGAGAACAGGGTTTGCTAACCACTCAGGATAATACACTTCTTTTATGAATTTGGTAGCTAGGAGCCGTTTTATTTGTACCATAATAGCCTCCTTCTTGTCTGGCGCGAATCATCAGAGTTTTTGCTTGATCGGTTTGGTGGTCGGCAAGGCATTCAAGGAGTGCTCGATCTTCTCCCGTGGTACCCCCGGCTTGTCTGCAGGTTTCTAAGCAAACATGTCGGCGTTGGCACGTAGGAAGGAGATGAGCATGCTTTCCTATTTAGGGTCGAGGTGAGCCCCAATCTTCACTATCTTAGAGGGGTCGTCAAGGCCGAGGGTGACTTCCTTGGTTTCTTTGGACTTGGCGGAGGCACGAGGAGGCTCCAACAATGGGATCTCTAGGTCATCGGTGGGCACCGTCTTGGCGTCGATGACCACATTGGCCATCTAGATGGAGAGGTCGGTGGCTTCGGTGAGGGTGAGACTCTCTATCTCGCAGGCGTAGGCGATGGAGAGGTTGGCCCGTAGGGCCAGGACTCCTGCAGGTGAAGGCATCTTCAGCACCAGATAAGCATAGTGCGGTACAACCATGAACTTGGCCAGAGCTGGCCGACCAAGTACGGCATGATAGGCGGTGTTGAAGTCGGCGATGTAGAAGTTGATGTGCTCGACGCGGTAGTTGCTTGCCGTGCCGAACTGTACTGGTAGGGTGATCTCTCTAAGCGGTTTGGATGCCCTGCCAGGTACCACACCCCAGAAGGAGGAGTTGGAAGGTGTGAGATCTGTTATCCCATGGCCCAGCTCCTTTAAGGCTCCGGCAAAGAGGAGGTTCAGAGCGCTTCCGCCGTCGACGAGCACTTTTCTAAAAAGCACTTTCTGGACGGTTGCGTCGAGGACGAGGGGGAAATGCCCTATGTAAGGAATATCCGCCCACTGATTGGCCCTACTGAAGGTGATTGGGACCTCGGACTAGGGGCGATAGTTGGGGTTGGCGGCGGCGTCTTCCGCATTGACGGCGAGCACCCGGTGGGCGGCGAGCTTCTATTCTCTTCTGCTCTCGGTGGAGGCGAGGCCCCCGAAGATGGTGGCGACCACCTTGTTGTGATCCTGGAAGGCATTGTTATTGCCCCCAGGTGGTCGGTGGCCTCCGGCGCCGTCGTCGTTGTCGTCGTCTGGCTTTTTGGCCTGGAATTCCTTAGCCAAGCCGAGGCAATCCTTCATCTTATGCTTAGCGTTCTTGTGGAGAGGGCATGGGCCATCGAGGATCTTCTTGTATTGCTCGTCATAGCTGCGCTTGGCGCGAAGTTCGTTGACAGCGGCGACGATATGGTCTGGTCGGCGGCGGCGATATTGACCAGAGTTGGATCCTTCTGGCCGATCACGGCCACTGTCTCGATGGTGACTACGGTTGTCGTAGCTGCGGTCATTGTGGCGCTGGTCATCGGGGCGATCGTCGCTACGGCGAGTTGGGCGATGAATGCCCGCATCCTCGTTGAAGCACACTTCCGCTTCTTTGGCATCGGCGTATTGGTTGGCGGTCATAATCATCTCTCCAATCCCCATGGGTGGCTTACGGTTGAACTTGGAGCGAAGATCGCGGTGATGGAGTCCTCGGACGAAGGCGGTGATGACCTCAGCTTCCGTGATGTTAGGAATAGAATTCCTCATCTCGGAAAAGCGTCTAATGTAGCTACGGAGGAGCTCGAATGGCTTCTGATAGATGCGGTTCAGATCATGCTTGGTGCCCGGCCGAGTACACGTAGCCATATAGTTGTCGGTGAAGACTTTTTCAGCTCTTCCCAGGATCCGATGGAGTCCAGGGCAAGGCTTGTGAACCAGTTCATAGCGGTTGGCATGAGCATGATGGGAAGATAATTCGCCATGACACTGGTATCTCCTCCGTGGCATGCACAGCGATGGCGTAAGCTTGTAGCCGCTATGTGGGTTTCATCCTTCCCTCGTAGGGCTCGACCCCAGTGATTTAGAAACCATGGGGCCACTAAAGTGTTCGGAGTGCCCTCGTGAATGCTGGGGGCCCTTCGGGGTTGTCGGCGCCATGATTTGTAGCATTGCCGACATTGAGTGTCTCGAGAGCTGAGTTTAGGTTACCGAACTCTTGCTCGTACTCTTGATGGCAGCGTACTTCTTCTTCATGGCGACCAAAATGGCGTTCGTCGATACGTCGTCGCGCATCTTGGAGATTATTAAGGTACACTCGGATGTCCTGGTCGACTTCCTGGTCGTGTTGGTGAAGGTGTTCAATGCGGTTTCCCCTAGCTCCCCCTAGAGGGGTTGTCTGTCGTCGCGGTGCTGGTCGGTGAAACGACTTGGGCGGCGATCAGATCTCGGCGCGGCTGATCGACGAATTGAGCTTGTGGAGTATGAAGGTCTCTGATCCTGGCGGATCTCGTTGACCTGGCAGTGCACCGCTTTAAGCATGGTGGCGACCTTGGCGACCTTCGGTGTCTGCGGGAGCTAGGCGAGCTCGTTGGCGGCCATGGGCAAGTTGGTGCTTGGGGTCTTGTAGACGTCGTGGCCATCAACACGAACAAACTCATCATCGAGGTTGCGTTGGAGTTGATGTGGCCTTCCTTGCGAGTCAAGCTGAGCCTCGCCCATTGCAAGGGTAGCCTCATTTGCTCAGCGCTGCACATGATTGATGTTCCTATTGACGTGGGCGGTGCGGTCCTCCTTGGTTTCCCCTTCCCGCAGGGGGCTGTCGACGCTGACGTTGAAGATTGCACCACCACGGAAAGGAGGGAGAGGAAACTGTTCGGCGGTGGTCTCGGCGACAGTCTCCATAGAGCCTTGGGACTTGGAGTCTGGATTCTCCTCCAAGATGGTTTGAGGGATGCTTCGGGGCACCGGTCGACGTGTAGCATGTTGACAACCGGCGGGAGCTGGTCGGCGATCTGGTCGGCGAGAGGATGGACATCTCCAACCTGGTCGGCGAATTTGCCCCGTAGGGCCTCTTGATAAGTGGCGACGACGTTGGTGAACCCGAAGGGTAGGGCCGTAACCCCTAGAGTTCCTCGAGCAGCCTCCGATAGATCTGGATCGGAGGGTGGTCGACGCTGACCCAGAGTGGTCAAAGCCGATTCTATGATGGAGAGGCAATCGACGAGCTTTTGCCGAACTGATCGATGGATGCGATCAGATCGTCGTTGTTGATTTGCCTCCTCTGGTAGCGGGGGAGCGGGCGGCGAGTTGTCGGCGAAGACAACCTCGGAAACGGTTCCGAGATCGGATCTGCAGTCGCAGGTGTTGGGATGATCGGCACAGTATCGATCTGCACTAGCTCGATGAGCTCTCCGACTCTGTCAGCATTGATGATCCACGAGATCGATCTGACCGTGAAGATCTGGGCGGGCTGTGGGAGGGGCGAAGAGCCTGCGAAACGTACCATCTTGTTCGATATAGAAACAACACGCACACCCCTACCTGGCGCGCCAACTATCGACAGAATATCGTCGGCAGCCCACCGAGGGGTATCCCACGAAGGTAGATTGATCGGCAGAGATGCGTGTAATCGAGAACAAGAAGGCAACAGAGACACGAGTTAGACAGGTTCATGCCGTCAGTATGACGTAATACCCTACTCATGTGATCTGTTAGATTATATTGGCTATCGTATGATATTACGTGTGTTTGGAGGGGGTCCTTGCCCGTCTTATATAGTCCGGAGGTAGGGTTACAAGTCGGTTAGATTTAGGAGATAACCGGAAAGTAATAACAGATTACAGGAATCATGGGATCATACGTATCCTAATAGATCTTGTGGTATCTTCAGGATATCTTCCCGGTGTCTTGCGGGAGGCACCGAGCAGCGTCGTGCCCCGCAAGGCTTCGTCTTATGGGCTGAGCCGCCCCTAGGGGCCACAGTCCATGTGATCTGCCGTGGGTATCCGGGTCGTACCCCCAGCCGTGTGTAAGCATTTACGTATTCTGGAATCGAAGTTTTATGCTTGAGCACATCAGACAACTTGCCTTTCTTAAGTCATACTCCATCAGTACAAAAATTTAACACGTTTTGTTTTCTTAATACATCGATTTTTTCTATGCATATAGACATACTCATTCCACCTTAAAATAAATCTCCATCTTTTATTTTGAGAAATTAACCAATCTTATGTATTTAGAAAAAACAAAACATCCTTTTCAATTTAGAATTAAAACACCTCTGTAACGAGGTCAAAAAAGATTTTTAAGGTGGTTTAGTCCTTTTTAGTTCAAGAAAAACACCTAATAGGGTTTTTAAAACAAAAAAATGTCTTAAGCATCTAAAAATTCTAAGAATAATTCTGGAGATATGTTGGGACATGAGAAATCTTAATAAAATATTTCAGCGTCACAAAAATATATTAGAAGCTTCCAAAAATTGGATTTAACGGTACATAAAATGAAAAAATGTAACCAGAAAATTCCTAATTGTATTTTGAAAACTTTCACACAACAAAAAATACGAGATGCGAGGCCATGTGTGTCTCTGTTCCTAGAGCTAGTAAGAACTGCACATAAGCAATGGTGTGATGATCATGATATCTGTTGAGCGTGTACATCTCCAACATGGTCTCTGTAAATAAAAGAAAAAAAAAAGCCGTCCACCTACCGAAAATGCGAGGAGTTTTCTGATCCTGACGTTTCAACAGTGTTATGGAGAAGAAAGCGTGTTCCACCAAGTAAACAACACCTGAATGACTCAGCACCCCGTCCGCTTAGCATTACTTTGTTATTGGCTAAGTGCCCAAGTCTAAAATAAGTGTTAAACTCGGAGACTTGGAGGACAGTTGCGGCTGAAGTCTTCTGCAATCTCCAAGCTATCCATATTTTCTATTAGCTATAAAAACACCCTGATCCAGCCATGGCAATGGTGTGGAATTTCACCTTCGCCTTTCTGTTCTTCGTCTCTTCCTCCAATCGTTCTCCCCGGCTCGCGCCATGAACGGGAAGCAGAGCCTGCGCCATGGCCGAACTGCGTACCATTTCCAGCCTGCCAAGAACTGGATGAACGGTACGCAGGATCTGTGCTTGATCATGTCAGAACCATAGAAACCAGGAAGAAGAAGCAAACTGACTTTTCTTTCTGTTTTTATTTGCATATGTGCGTCTCTTGATTTTGCCGGAACACGTGGTGTGTGGATAAAACTGAACAGATCCAAATGGTACGCATTCTTCTTTAGGAGTATCTCGTAGCTAGTTCTCTGGCAATACTCAATAGTGTCACCTGTTCTTCGGTTCTCAGCTCGATATCTTGGACAAAATTCAGTCTCAACTCTTAAAACAATTCGATCTAATCTTAAATTTTGGATTTTTTTTCATACAAATGACACCGAGTGCTTGTGTGGCAGGGCCTTTGTACCACAAGGGCATGTACCACCTGTTCTTCCAGTACAACCCGCACGGCCCACTGTTCGGCACCGGGAAGCTCTCCTGGGGCCACTCCGTCTCCGGCGACCTGGTGAACTGGGCCTTCCTAGGCACCGCGCTGGACCCGACGTCGCCGTTCGACGCCGAGGGCTGCTGGTCGGGTTCCGCCACCACGCTGGCCGACGGCCGCCCGGCCATCCTCTACACCGGGCGCGACGCCAACGACGTGCAGGTGCAGAACGTGGCGTTCCCCAAGAACCCGTCGGACCCGCTCCTGCGGGAGTGGCACAAGCCCCGCTGCAATCCGGTAGTCCCGCAGCCGGCCGACGTGACGCGCAACAACTTCCGGGACCCCACCACGGCGTGGCTCGGCCGCGACGGGCTCTGGCGGTTCGCCGTCGTCGCCGAGGTCGGCGGCGTGGGCTCCACCGTGGTGTACCGCAGCGCAGACTTCGTCCACTGGGAGCGGAACCCCGCGCCGCTACACGCGTCCCCCGACGTGCCCGTCTGGGAGTGCCCGGACCTGTTCCCGGTGGCGGAGCGCGGCACGGAGGGGCTCGACACGTCGGCGACTGCGAGCGGCGGGCCCGGGGTGAGGCACGTGCTCAAGCTCAGCAAGGCCGCCGACGAGGACTACTACGTGGTGGGGCGGTACGACGACGAGGCCGACACGTTCGCGCCGGTGGAGGACGGCGACCACGACGTCCGGAACTGGCGCCGGATCGACCACGGCCACCTGTTCGGGGCCAAGACGTTCTTCGACGCGCGGAAGAAGCGGCGCGTGCTGTGGGCGTGGGTGGACGAGACGGACAGCCGCTCCGACGACGTCGGCAAGGACTGGACGGGCATCCAGACGTTCCCGAGAGCGCTGTGGCTGGACGCCGACGGGAAGCAGCTGGTGCAGTGGCCGGTGGAGGAGATCCAGACGCTGCGGAGGGGGCGAGTCGCGCTGGTGGGCGCGGAGATCGGCTCCGGCGGCCTGCGCGAGATCGCCGGCATCGAGGCCCTGCAGGCGGACGTGGAGGTCGTGTTCGAGGTCCCGAGCCTGGAGTACGCCGAGGAGCTGGACCCCAAGTGGCTGCTTGATCCCCAGAAGATGTGCGCGGAGAAGGACGCTTCCTCGCCGGGCCCTGGCGGCGTCGGGCCGTTCGGGCTGGTCGTGATGGCGTCCGGCGACATGCTGGAGCAGACCACCGTCTTCTTCAGGGTGTTCCGGCACGGTGGCACGTACAAGGTTCTCATGTGTGCCGATCTCACAAGGTATATATTGCATGCAACTCTGCCAAACTAAACCAAACGCCCCTGTTTGTTTACCAATTCAGATTCTAATAAACAAACATAAAAACAACTATCTTTTGCATACATTTTTGCTGCAAATATGGAAGTACAGGTCATCGACAAAAGAGGGGGTGCACAAGCCAGTCTATGCAGGATTCGTTGGAGTGGACGTGGAGAAGGACAGGAGAATATCGCTGAGAACACTGGTGAGATTTTCAGTGGCAGCGGCAGAAAACTTGTCTTCATTCTTTAGTTGAAGCTTTGTGATAGTACTAGTACATCCCTGAGGATTAACAAAGGTGACACTCACGTCACGTCACGTTGACCAAAAAAACAGATTGACCACTCTATCATCGAGAGCTTCGGAGGCGGGGGCCGGACGTGCATCACGGCCCGAGTGTACCCTGAGCACGTGGCAGCAGGCGGCAGTAGTCACCTGTATCTGTTCAACAACGGAGCTCACCCAGTGACCGTGTCCAAGCTCCAGGCCTGGGAGCTAGGGACGGCAAGCATCAACGTTGAAGAAGACTACCGTGTGGCTCCACTTTAATCGCCCGTGGTTGTTCCAGAATCCTGTCGGATGAGTGGATGACGCTGGATAGATATATGAGACGGCAACCATCACGTTAGTGAAGCATGCATGTGTGTCAAAATAAAGCTTTAGGATGTCCATCCCGGACATCGTCGTTGTCCTATGACCGTTACTTAAAATATAAGATCCATTTCACGTTTGGGTCTGATAAAAAATTCAATATTTATTTTTATCTTCTTCAACAACAGGACCTCAAAAGAGAACTCTTTCTGCAAATAGATCTCCAGGAGAGAGGATACTCAGATTTGGGTTATACCTCTCCTGATACCCAAAATGTGCCTTCTATATAGCTACTTTTTTGGAGGCTATATATTTTCTGTTGGAGACCCATTTTAGATTTGACTCTCATGATGGGTCTCATGTTGGACACAACCTAACAAGGCCATTTTGTGATCTAACGCTCTGAATAATGTAGCTTTGGCAAGTATATTATCTAGAGGCTCCACATTAACATTAGAATTTCTGTGTTGATGAATTCCGGTTAGGGTCAGAGTCGGAAAGGTCCAATGAAGATACGAGACAACGAGAATAAGCTTGGCATGCTCAGATTGAAGAACACCTTGCAAGTTGCAACACGTCCGAGAAAACATGAGCAAAAGTTAGGCCTACAAAAGGCCAACTAGTTATGGGCCTAGACTTCGTGCTCAGGCCTCCCTAGTGGGAAGGTTCGGGCCAGGCCTGAGCGTCCAGCACCTGAGTTTTCAGCGTAAAAATAAATGAAAATAATGTTTTGGCCGGATTCAGGCTAAGAAAATATTTCTGGACATTTATACCTCTGTTTAGGCCCTAACCAATTAGGTGAATGACCTAGGCCAAACCCATTGATCTCGGGTCGGGCTGAGCCGAGTTTGCCTAGTTGGCTGCAAAATCCTACGAACACCTCTCGAAAAGGAATCGTCAGGAAGGGTGCACCTAGGGTTAGTTCTAGAGTCATCATGGTCGCCTAGAACATCGATAATTCAAGTCAAGAAACTTCGAGGACAACAAGATATGGGTTTGACAAAGCTAGGGTTTGGAATGCATTAAAACTTAGATGTAGATTGATTTTGATCGACTAGTAGACACCCTTAATCGATCATACCCATTAGAAAATATTTACGATACCGAAATATGCATGTTTCCAAACTCCAACTTAGACCTGTCAAAACTGCTTTAGTCGGATTGGCAAACCGACCTAGATAGTTTTACCAGAATTGACTCGATAGCCTAATTTAGTATTCAGCGGGTAGAATTTGCTTTAAATTTGTGTTGTGTTGTTTTTTAAACGAGATTAAACTCTTTTAAGAAAGCAACAAGTTACATGGAACGCTGGGGTTACCAACAGCATTACAACTCCACACCACAAGTTTAAACTCAAATTCCCTGGGGATACCAGCAGCATTACATCTCCTCGACACAAAAGAACTAAATTTCAAACACATGAGTTGCCATCAAAGTAGCAGGTCTGAACTTTAGCAACCATCCCGGGATCGCCTCCAAAGCTTGATTGACGTGTTCCTTATCCTTCTCCTTCAACAGCACGCTCCACCTCTGCATCAACAAAACCACGCGGTATAACACATCAGTAGGAGCTTTGAGAAAGGATTTCTCAATAGCCATCTTGTTTCTTGTAGTCCAAATAGCCCAAGCAAAGCCTGTGGAGAAAAAGATAAGCAATCTGCTTGGCAAACGCCCCTTGCCTTACGAGAAATCTCCCAAGGAAGAGGGATAGTCTTCCTGTTATCAACCCCAAGTATATTGGTTCACAGATAACTTGATTCACTGCTAATCAGGGTACAGGACCTCAAGGGGAGGGAGGTCAGAGCAGAGAATGAAGGGGAACCCGGTACAGAGAGAGATAGAGGCTTGATGAAGAAGATGAACAGTCCCAGAGGAAGGAGGAAGAGGAATAGTAGGTAGGAGATGGTTTCTTCTGATAATTGTTTGATCCTTTTCCAGTTGCTGCTCATACGCTTTTGTAGATGACGTCCATAGGTCTAGGCAATACTCAACTAGGACTAGGCCCAGGCCCATATGGTGGCCCAACCAAGGGTGGTGAAAGCATCTAGGCCCCTAGTTGGGTTTCGGTGATTAATGACAGTACGTGATTACTATGACTAACGTGTGTTTTGCAGAGGCAATTAAGTTAGGTCATGGTAATTGAGATCGATTGGATAATTATGATGGTCATGCCCCTACGATGAAAATCGTTTTGGTTTTCAAAGGATGGATGACAAGGTTAATGATGGACTAGTTCTAAGTGTCATTTGAAGTTGAAGAGGTAGTTAGAGTAGTTTAGGACTTTGTTTTTCCTTTGGCCGTACTATTAAGGGGGGGTATGGACGGGTAGCTTGACCTAGGTGAGTCTAGTGAGTTAGGTGTGCTGCACACTTGTTAAAACTAACACTAGGTATCTCCTAAATATGCCTAAGATCCAATGGAGCAAACTTCGTTCACGTATGATCGAGAGTTGGAAGTGAATGGAGGGTCAAATACTGACCGGATGCTGGTTTCGGTTTGACCGAACGCTGGCGCAGAGTCTGGTCAGTTCATTTGACCAAGGTGAAATCGTCTGGTGCGACCGGACGCTGAGAGGTGATGTGACCGGACGCTGAGGGCCAGCGTCCGGTCGACTCCAAAGAAGGTTCCAGAGAGGGAAAATCACGACCAGACGCGTCCGGTCAGTGCTGACCGGACGCTGTCCAGCGTTCGGTCACACTATAAACACTGGAGTTCGGGGAGAACTGACCGAGCGTCCGGTCACCCCGCAGAGGCACATAACGGTTCGTTTTTCAGCCCATGTTATAAATACCACCTCCATTCATGTGTGGGGGTACTTTTGCTCATTCCAACAGCTGAGAAACACTTTTGAGAGTGCCAAGAAGAGCAAGGTCCTAGTGAGGTGATTGTGATTTGAGAATCCCAAAGAGAGCCCTCATTTCAAGAGTAGCAAAGTGTGCATCCACCCTTCTCTCTAGGTTTATCGTGGTCAAGTGAGAGTCCGTGCTTGTTACTCTTGGTGATTGCCATCATCTAGGCGGCTTGGTGGTGATTGTGAGCTTGGTGATCATCCGGCAGAGCTTGTGGATGACCCAACTCAAGTTGTGAGCGGTTGTGGGTGATTCACCGTGATGGAGTGTCGAAAAATCAACCCGTAGAGAGCACTTGATCCTTGCGCGGATCAAGGGGGAGCTACACCCTTGCACGGGTGCTCCAACGAGGACTAGTGGGGAGTGGCGACTCTCCGATACCTCGGCAAAACATCACCGTGTTCCTCCTTCTCTCTTTACTTTGAGCATTTACTTTGAGCAATTCAATTCTTGTCATTTACATTCTTAGAATTGCCATGCTAGAGTAGGATTGGAACATAAGTTGCAAGTCTTTTGTGCGGTAGAACAATTAGAAACATTTTCTAGGCACAAGGGGTTAATTGGGCTAACCGTAGGATTTAATTATTGTAAAGAAATTTAGAATTAGCCCAATTCACCCCCCCTCTTGGGCATCTTGATCCTTTCAATTGGTATCGGAGCCTCGTGCTCACGTATTTAGGCTTAACCGCCTAGTGAAAGATGTCTCACGGGATGTTGTAAGAAAGATATTGAGTGTCCTCCCCATTGACAAATATGGGCATATTGTGCCCATGCTACATCAAGGTGATCTTTCCATCGCTACACCGACACAAATCTTGGGAAAGATCAATGCTCATGAGATGTACATGCACATCACACCTCAAGATGGCTCATCCTCTACAAAAAAGAAAGAAAAAGATTTAGCATTAAAAGCTAGTCAAGGGAAGGGCAAAGCAAGGCTTGAGTATGAGAGCTCAAGTGATGATGAAGATGATGATGCAAGCCTTGCTCTCATGGTGAAAAGAACCGCCAAGATGCTAAAGAAGCTCAACAAGAGTGGCATCAAGTTTGATGGCAAGAAGAAGAAGTTTTTCACTAGCTCAAGAAGAAAGCCAATCTCCGAGATGGATTGCTACAATTGTGGAGAACTTGGTCATTTAGTTCACCAATGCATAAAGCCCAAGAAAGACAAGTTCAAGAACAAGAACAAGGGCAAGAAAAATGACTCAAGTGATGAAGATGAGAAGAAAGAAAAACCATACAAGAAGAAAGATGGCAAGAAGAGAGACTTCCACAAGAAGAAGAAAAGTGGAAAGGCATACATCGTCGGTGATTGGCTCATGGACATTGATTCATCTAGTGGCTCATCCGATGATGATAGTGACAACGAGAAGGTGGCCGCCATTGTTATTGATTCTTCATCATCTTCACCGCCACCACTACCATCATCCTCTACACACCTATGCCTCATGGCCAAAGGTGAACGAAAGGTATCACATGATGATGATAGTAGTGGTGATGATCATGCTCATAATGATGATAGTGATAGTGATAGCGATGATGATGAATATGAATCACCTTCTTATGATGATCTTGCTAAATTGCTAAAGAAATACACTAAGATTATTATAAAGACTAGAGCTAAAAATGAAAAGCTTGAAATCAAGAATGATTCTCTCTTAGCTAAATGTGACATAGCTGAAAAGTCTAGTGTTGAGCTTAGAGAAGCAAATGATGATATGTCATCCAAACTCAAAGAGCTCAAATCTTCTAAGAAAGAGCTTAAAGATAAACATGATAAACTTGAGGGGGTGCATAAAGAGCTCATCACTAGTCACAACAAGCTAAAAGATGAATATACTACTCTCAAGATTAATTATGATAATCTTGCTATTCCTCAAGAATATTTATACAATGAGCCACATGATGCTACTAACCATGTTGTTAAGATTGATATAGCTACATCATGTGATGACTTAATTGATGAGAGCATTGAGCAAGGATCTAGTGGCAAAGGCAAGCAAGTGGTTGAGTGCAATGACTATGATGATGTTGATGCAAAAGTGGATCTGCAAACACAAAGGGCTAATACCCGAATCGATATCCAAAGCGTGCCAGTCGATTTGACCT